CAGTCCTCAGCAGGAACCACAGTGTTGGCACTGCACTCCCTGCCCCTGACAGCAAACCCTCACACAGCTCTCATCCTTCCTCAGACCTTCCTTGTGCACTGCATCCAGCTGCTCACTGTCATCCCCCTGCACTGACAGCACCTTTTCTCCCAAGTCTGACAGTCATGATCTGATGCCTCCATCTGCCTGGACTCACAGGCTCCATCTGCTCACCCTTCCTTCTCTGTAGCCATCTCCATCCCCCCCCCCTCCACCAGTGATTCTCACCCAGGGGTGCATGGCCCCCCAGTAGCCTATCAGAACATCTTCTGGATGGTGTTATTGTTGGTATTTGTGAGCAGATCACTGCTCTGCCTCTGATGTTCTGATAGGCCACCTGGGGGCCATGCCCACCCGCCCCTCGGGTGGAACCCCCCACCCCCCCACCCCTGGTTAAGAATCACTGCTATGGATGGCCCCTTGTCCTCCCTGGCCCCTGCTGTCCCATTCTATATGGAGCTAAGAGCTTTCTGGTGGTGACCATTTGATGTCCTCACTCACGCATCTCAGTGCTTCCCCTCTCATTTAGACCTACATTCTCTTCCAACCACCTCCTTCCTTTCTGTGTTTACTCCCTTTACACATGACATGAGAATTATTCTCTTGAAGGCCCTATCCCACCCGTCATACTCTCCCACCCTTATGTCAGTATTGTTGCTTCCATCCTGGTCCTCTCTGGACTTTCATCTTTTTTTCCTTAAACCTCCCCTCCTCTTTCTATGCAGACACAAGGAACCTCTGCAGAGCAGACTGCTTTGTTTCCTGTGAAAATGGCCCTTGCTTTTGCCCGCCTTCCCACTGTACTTAAAGCTGCTCTAGTTTCTTCTTTTTGTAAGAAGAGTAGACTTCTTCAACTTGCATTAATTGTCCTCATCACTCAAAATAGAATCTACAAGCTCATTTGTAGAAAATTGTTATCTCTAAGCCTATGTCCTCAATCCCCACTTCCACCTCCAATATATTACTACTCCCAACCCTGCCTTCCAGGCTAGCCTAGTCTGGGCCTATCCCAAACCCCACCTTAAATCCACCCACCTACTAGATCCTTAAATTCCTACTAGGTCCCAAGAACCTGGCCAAAATGTTATACCCTTGACAATGGTGTTCACATTTCTGTCTAGCATTTACTCTCTACACCTTTTCTGTTCTCTCTCTTTCTCCCTCCCTCCATCTAATCTCCCCCCTCTCTCTCTCTTCCTCTCTCTTATATCCCCCTCTGTGTGCTTGCCTTCATTGTAACCTTGGAACCACTTCCTTCTCCTTGGTCCAGCCTGTCACTTGAACCATACTCAGTGCTGTCTGTCTGTCCACCTAGTGCCTCATGTCCATCTGTCTTCCATAGCTTACCTCTCTTTCTCTTCCTCATCAGAAATCTCCCCACATCTGTTCTTGCTGCCTTTCTTCTCTTTCGTAGGCAAGAGAAAGCTCCCTGCCTTGTATCTAGACATACTCCTGTGATCTACTTCTTTGTATTCCCGCCTCATTTCTTCCTAAGAATCAACTCATTTCTTTAACCCATTCTCACTGCCCAGCACTTCCCCTCCTCTCCCTATCTCACTTTCTCTTCAGGGACTTTGACTACCAGTTTATCCATTGATTCCAACCTTTTCTGTGTCTCAGTAGTCTTTGCCCACTTCTCCCCTACTAATAGTTCAGCCTCTTTCTTCCCATCCCATGAAATACATTCCCACAAAGCTCCTCTTTATTTCCTCCTTTCTTCTCATCAGATTATTTCCCCCTAAAAGAACCTCCATTGATCATAGGCTGTCCAGTTTCCCTTGCTTCTCCTTCCGGCCTTGATATACCACCTTCACACACCCATTCTTAGATTTTTAAGACCCTCTTCTTAAGTAATTTTTATTTGCCATCCTGTTGTTCCATGTCCTCTCTTGCCCTTTGGATCAGCTGACCCAGAATAGAAGCCCACACAGCCCCAAAGCCCTCTGCTCCTAGAGCCTGGTTTCCTGCTCGGTTATCTGTCTACCTTCTTTACCCCCAATACTAAACCCACAATGCCCCGTGGGTTCCACTGTCAACTTCTCATCCCACCTTGCCTTCTGTGTCAGCCAATACAGACTTCTAGCCACCCTGCAGAGGGGAAGAATGGATTGAGTTGACCCTACAAAATGTCTACTCAGCATTGATGAGCAGATGCTCCTGCACCATTTACCAACCTCCTGACCCACATTCTGGACTTGGTGTCCATGGGTCCGTCTCCATGTTCCTGAGATTACCTGCCAGTACTGCAAACATTGCCTCACTTTCAGGATCTAACAGAAGTCACTGTGGCTCTCTGTGCCGTATTCTCTAAGTCTACTGCTTTGCAAATGCCTAGGCTTCGGGTTTCCTTCTCTGCTCTTCTCCTGTGGTTTGACATTGATACTGACTTGTCTCCGTTACCTGCACACACTTCCATATGGGAACTTTGGAGCCCACCAATCCTTTCGTAATCATCTCATGTTCAAGGCTGACCTCTGCAGACTCCTCACTTACTGCCCCTTATGTACTTTCCAAGTGTTGCCTTTCCAATCAGCTCTTTTCCTTAACAAATACTCTTATCTGCTACATTCCTCTGGCAGCTTTAATAGTTTTCTTCCTACTTGGGTACAAATTAACCATTGTCTCACCATCCCCACCATCCTTCTCCCCACCCCCTCTCCGTGGGTTCCTGAAAGACTGTGCTTGTACTTCAGCATCTCCTTTACTTCTCCTGCCACCTTCCAGTGACACTGTAGTCAAGTGTCTCTCCCTCCCTGTCTGCTCCCTTCCTAAAAGTCATCGCTGCAAGCTCACCTTGGTCTCGAGTGTGCTGTTTGAGCTCTCTGACCTCACCTGTAATCATCCTAGCGTCTCAGTTTTACTGCAGTAGACACAGTTGTTTCTTCCCTTTGGGGCTTCCCCTCGAAGCTGTCGTCACCTCACCATGTCTTTCGTTGCCATGGTAGTCCTAGAGTTTTCTAGGGGCCTTCCCAGTCTCTGCTTCCTGCTCTGGCTCTCCTACCCAAACTCTCTTCCTCCCCAGCTGGGCTCACCTGGCTCACTCCTGTCTCCCCTCTTCTCTGGTGTGCTGTGGTACCTTTCCCTTAGCTCTCTGTGCTCTGCTCTCTTGGCTGTTTGCTCCTTCCACTACTTCTCATTTGGACCCAGTAAGCAGCTCTTCTTCCATGCCCTCACGTTTTTGCCAAACTCCTCACCTCCTCTCCCCTCTCCTGGGCCCAGATGGCCCTTTCTCTCGCTGCACTCTCTTCGGCTCTGTCACACCGTCAGTGTCTGCAGCTCCTTCAGATGCCCCTGCGATGCTCTGCTGTATCCTGTGGACCTCTGAACCTGCACCTTCACTCACCTGCCCTCTACACCCGCCCTTCACCACGTCTGGTCCTCTCTGGGTCAGACTGATTGTACCAAGTCTGCACCCTCTGCCCAGCACTCTCGGTGGCCCAGGCTTATGAGTTCCTTCTAGAACTCCACATCTATAGCTCCTTGTAACCTGTTTTGCCCCCTTTCACACTCTTTGAGTCATAGTCTGATAAAGCTCTCAGGGAACATCTGCCTCTCTGATTTTTTGTATTCTGCTCTAGACAATCCACCCCATCCTGACCTAGTAACCTCTACCCTTACCCTAACTTGATCCTAACAACAATTCCTCCACCTGATGGTCCTGCTTCTCTTCCCAATCAACACTCAACTTCTTCCTTGACCTCCATTTTGTTACGAGCTCCATTCTCCTCTTTCCCTGCTTCCCCCTGGATAACAAGCCTCAACTTTCATTATTACTGAACACTACCCATCTCAGCCTCACTCACTTCTCCACCGCAGTCCTCAGCAGGAACCACAGTGTTGGCACTGCACTCCCTGGCCCTGACAGCAAACCCTCACACAGCTCTCATCCTTCCTCAGACCTTCCTTGTGCACTGCATCCAGCTGCTCACTGTCATCCCCCTGCACTGACAGCACCTTTTCTCCCAAGTCTGACAGTCATGATCTGATGCCTCCATCTGCCTGGACTCACAGGCTCCATCTGCTCACCCTTCCTTCTCTGTAGCCATCTCCATCCCATCCCCTCCACCAGTGATTCTCACCCAGGGGTGCATGGCCCCCCAGTAGCCTATCAGAACACCTTCTGGATGGTGTTATTGTTGGTATTTGTGAGCAGATCACTGCTCTGCCTCTGATGTTCTGATAGGCCACCTGGGGGCCATGCCCGCCCCCCCCCCCCAGGGGAAACCCCCAACCCCCCACCCCTGGTTAAGAATCACTGCTGTGGATGGCCCCTGTCTTTCCTGGCCTTTGGTTTCCATTCCATGCCCTAGCTTTCTGGTGGTGACTGCTTGATGTCCTCACTCAAGCATCTCAGTGCCTCCCTTCTTGTATAGACCCTGAACCCTCCTTTTGGAGACACCTCCTTCCCTTCCCTGTTCATCCATTCACATGCAGTATGTTCTAACCATAGTCTGCACTATATGATTGATATTTTACTCCTCATTTCCACTTTTTTTTCCCTCTTTAAAATTTAGAGGTCCAGTATCTGTTTTTTCCTTGGATTTTTCAGTTTACCTCCCCTTCCACCTCCTTCCATCACTGCTTTCTAACATCTTTCTGGTGTCGTCGTCATTGTCGTCGTCGTTGTCGTCGTCGTCATCATGGCATGGATATGCTCTTTCCCCTGTGTTCTCTGGGCTCCTTTCCCCAGCTTCATTCAGTGTCTTTGCTCACTTCCCCAGTGCCCCTTGTTTGAATAGACTTAACTATACTCCACCCTCCTTTCCATCCTGCCCTACATGACTGTCTCCTACTTGCTTCTTTCCCGTCAGTGTACTTGGTCTCTTGTGCTCTGGTCCTTTTCTTGTCTCATACTCTGATTCTGCTGCCCCCTTTGGTTGTTGTTGGTTGCTAACCTCACTCTTGAAGGTCTTGTGACACTAACTAACCCTCTATTATCAAACCCATAACATACTTAGCTTCCACCTACATTCTATTCCTTTTGATGTAATTACAGTGCCAAGACTTTTTTTCCCAGCATGTCCTCTTCACATGGCCTTTCCCTTGCTTTTTTACCTGTTCCTATTCTGCCTGTGTTAGGGATGACTAATTTATCATCCCTCAATCTGTTTTCATAGTTCCCATTTTCCTAGACTGTGCTCAGTTGCTCTGGTTCTCTGGTCGCTCCTTAGCAGGATCCCTGCCACTCGATTTGTTTCACGGCTACACAACCAAATTCTTTGTTTGGTTTGGGTTTTAGAGACAGGGTTTCTCTATTTAGTCCTGGCTGTCCTGGAACTCTCTCTGTAGCCCAGGCTGGCCTCAAACTCAGAGATCCACCTGCCTCTGCCTCCTGAGTGCTGGGATTAAAGGTGTGCGCCACCACCCCTAGGACACACACATACACACACATACAACCTAATTCTTAACTTTTCTATCAACTGTACCTTCCTTTGTATACACTTCCCTGAACATTACCCCTCCCTCTCATGTCCTGTTTTTAGTTATCGTTTGATCTCCTTCCCTTTCTTCCTTTAATAACTACCTTCTTCCTGACTCAACTGCTTTGTAAATACCAGCAATTATCATTAACCACGCCCCCCCCATACACATACTCTTTTAATAGTAATACAATACATTCTGAGTTTGAAAAGGCCTTCATCCAGCTCCCTTTTGGGGGAAAAAAAAAGCACATTTTCAAACCACCATTAAAATGATAATGAAAAATTTTAAGACTATTTTACAATATAAACCATGTTTAAAAACAGTTGTCCAATTATCTTACATGCAGTGTTCAATAAGAGACACATTTTTATGTAGTACAAAATGATCCCATACTCACACTATAGGATGAAACAGTGATATTTTTAACATAAGTAACAAGTTGTAATACCTTACATACTAAATACATAGAATATAAATAAATATTTTGGAAATATTTACTTACCAACTGATGAGTTTCTTGAGTTATCTCGCCCATATTATTGGGAAGATGACAGGAATATTTCACAGCATTTTTTTTACGGTCCTTGATCATAGGAAATGAGCCTACTGATAAATACTATGGCCATAAAAAAAAAAAAAAAAAAACTATACTACCCCAAGCAGGCTTATGTACAAGGGAATCATTAGCATTAGCATCTGAGTGTAACTAACTAGTACAAGGCTTCCTAAGCACGTGGTGGTGGTGGTGGTGGTGGTGGTGGTGGTGGTGGTGGTGGTGGTGGTGGTGATGTGTGCGCGCGCACGTGCGCGTGTGCATGTGTATACAAGAACTTTACATGCTAACTACTTTTAGACTGTGTACTACAGAGCTAGTAATATTTGCATTCCTCTTTGTGGCCTGTCGCTTTTGACACTCTGAACCTTAGTGTTCTAAACGACCTCAGTTGGCTTACTTTATCGCCATTCAAGCACACCCACCCCATAAATATGTTCTCCTGATTGTGTCTCACTTCTCTCACCTTCAGTTGGCTCTACAAGATTCCTTAACAGTCCCCAGCCAATCCAGCCTCCAACTTTCCTGTCTCTCCCTACCATATCTTAAACATTCTGCATGCCTCATCTGATCTGCTGAGCCCACCTGAATTTCAGGTTCAGTAGGGCTGTGACTCTATACTTAGAACACAGTTAAGAAACACTGCTCTTCCCTTCCCTTCCACCGAGCCCTTAAGTTACCAAGTTCACACCCGGGCATCAAGCACTCCTTCCTGCTCTCTTTTCTGGGCATGTACTCCTCATTGTGTTCAGAGTTTAGTTCTGGAAACTGTGCTACAGCTCCATGGTCTCTCTCATCGGAATCATTCTCTAGGTTTCAGAGGCATTAACCTCTCTTCTTCATGTCTTGGGACCCAAATAAGGGGTTTCTCCTCCTGGACAGGGCCTGCCGTAATTTATTTTCACCTGTTGTTTTCCCACTCCTTCCCTCCTCGCTCTCTGGCTTGTCCTAAAACAGGATCAGCCCTCTGGTAGAAACCACCTGTGTTCCTCTTGAACAAGGCTGTCTAGCCAGGTTCTCTCTCTAGATGTCTCCCCTCTTCCGAAACAAGAACAAAAACCCTTCGTACAGCAGAGGAACTTTGGTGCAGCACTCTACATGGCACACATGTATCAATTTGTACTCCGATGTCTTAATTATATGTATGTCCATCCCCCATTTCTCCTTGGAAATAAAAATGAAGTTTTACTTTTGAGTTGGGTTCCCATCATAATCTTCAGCCACTCTCTCCCAATATTATTCATCCATTCTGTGGACACACTACTCAGAGACTTCTCCTGGTGTCATTTTATCAAGGTCCAGCCTAGTCCATCTCTTCCTGTTCCTTTGAATGAAAACACCCACCAAAGCCTCCCCTAATTTAATGCCCTCACTCTTTTCCCAGTACACATGTATGCCACTTTTGAAAGTCTGGCTTTAAGATCCAACAGCCAGCCTGAGACCCTCATTATTTCAGTCTCACAGGTTCCATTCTGGGGACCACCATTACCATGCTATCTGCCATGCTGCTCCTACCATTAACTCTCCTTCAGATAACTCCCAGTCTCTCTCCTCCTCCTCCTCCTCCTCCTCCTCCTCCTCCATGGTAGTCAGTACAATATGGTTTAGTCCAGACTTGGAGAAGGTTCCTGCAATTGGCCATAGCTCAGAGCCATCCCATTTATACTCCTCAACCCTTAGGTCTGTGAGTCACATTGGTGGCTTCAGATGCCATTCAAGGAGAAACCAGCAGATGATACTCCTTCATAACACTGTTTCATAGCCACAGTCTTCTCTCCATCTTTGGTTGCAATCTAGCATAACACAGTTTCTCTCCTACAAATTCAACTCAGTCATTTTTCTTCAGCATTCCCCATTTTGGCCCTCTACAATGCCCTTCCCTACCCACCCTTTGTACTCACTTTGTCCTTCATTCAAAATACTATTTACTTTTTTTTCAGAATCCAACCTGTCTTCTCTGATCCTTTCATACAAGGCTCCCTAAGTATGTCACTCAGAGTCAGCCAATATCCACAAAGCATATCAGCAGTTTTAATGGCGCACTATGCAGTAATCTGCATCTGTCATCTTTTCCATTTCCACCTGCACTATAGTCAACATGGATGCAGAATTCTTGAGATATATTTGCTTCCTCATAATCTTTACTCATTCTCCATCTTGTAATAGCAGTCTATTCTCAGCACAAGCTACCTGCCCACACCCTCCACTAAGCAATCCTAGTGTCTCCATAAAGTTGTCACCAGCCACTTTCTACCAGCACTATGGCATCTTAATCGGTAAACTTTCCCTTCCATAACAACCAAATCCTCCAATTTCCCTCCAACCCTTCCTGTTCAGGTCCTTCTTCCTCATACTGTTCGCCATGGTCTCTAATGCCCAAATGTGACCAAGTAGATTTACATTGAGCTCTGACAGGACTTTGCATTTGAGATCTTTAGTCTCCACTTTCTCTGCTTGTTGGCCCTCTAAGAGGCATGCTTTCCTTCCCTTTGCTTCCAGTCTACCTCTTATTTTCATTCCTTCCTGATTTGAGGCCCACGAATACAGTCTTAACTTTAATTTGATGTCTGTCGTTCCTTAGTGCTGGCTCTTTCACATCTGTGGTTAACTTTAATGTTGATAATTCTGTACTGTTGCTCCTCCTTTAATCTAGAGATAATCTAGAGATAGCCTTAGTTTTTAGCATCCCTCCTGTTCTGTGTGTAGTGCTCCCATGGATTCAGCACTATCTGCTAAGTAACATCCATCTCCATCACTCATTTTTTTCTTTCTTTTTTACATTCACCGGGTAACACTTCATCCTCCTTAACTTCCTGTGTACTGTGTTCTCAGCTAAGTCTAGACTCTGTGGATCATTCCAGGCAGCCTATTGCAGATCCGTTCCTTTAACCCTCTCCTTTTTGCTCTCGTGGCACACCCTTTCCTTCAACTACCTAGGAATCTCTTCAGATCTGTATCTCTTCTTTTTTTTTTTAACCAGTCTTCCCCTCAGTGATTAACTTCAACTTTCCACCCTGACATGTGTTTACTACACACTCAGTCCCCAGCCCAACTGTACATCCCTCTCCCTATTTAGCTTCCAGCATTGATTTTTTTTCCAATTCTGTATTCTTTTCATACTTATCTCCTTAGCAGTTGACTCTCATTTTATCCAGTCCTTATAAAATATGCTTCATTTTTTAAGCCTCTTTAACAGAGGTCTTCAGGTTTTGTTTTCTTTGTTCCTTTTGGTTTTTGCCTTTCCTGTTTGATGAGGCTGTAATCGTTATGATAGTGGAGTTCTGCTCTTGCCCTGGAAGGGTCCCTCTGCCCTGCCCTCTTGTCTCCCAATGTCTGTCTCTTCTTTAGCTTTACTGATGCATTACTAACCCTGGCTTTTAATGGAGCTCTTGGAAGGTTCCCTGAAAGTCCTCATTGTATCAACCAAATCATTTAATTAAAAAATGTGCCACAAAGGTGTCATTCACACATTCCTCCTCAACCCATCCCTAAGTGTCACATCCTCAATACTTTTAAATGCCTTCTCTCTTGGCTTCTACATCAAATCTAACTAGTCTGCCCCAGTCTGTGGTCTACTCTACCATTCATTTTGTCTCTCTTCAATCTATCCCCAGGCTCCTAATCCTGCAACTTCACATAGCACTCTATTAAAATTTGTACTAAAGAATCTATGGCATTGAATTGTAGTGCCATGAATAGATTAATTGTATATATAATCACACTAATTTAACTCCTTGACAATGGGCTTTGGAAACAGAGGTCATATCTAACTCATTTTTGTGTCTACTACATTGCCTTATACCTTTACTTAAATGTCAGTGGGATGGGTGGATGGGTGAGTGGATGGATGGATGGATGGATGGATGGATGGATGGATGGATGGATGGATGGATGGATGGATGGATGGACGGACTGAACAAATACCTCTTATTGCCCACAATTTCATGCTTACATTTGAGTCTCCTTTCTTCTCTTGCTCATACCCCAAAACAGCTTTCTAATGCTCCAGTTTCTAGTATTTTGTGCACATAAGCCTTTTCCAGACCCCTGACTAGACCATAGAGGCCCTTCCTCCATCCATGCTGGCCAAGTTCTCTCTTTCACTTTCCCAAATTGTGTCAATTTATTATTACTCATTTCTTACTTAATTCTGTCAGTCATCTAAAATGAACAGTGCCTACTTGCTTTTTCAATTTGAAACAGACTTTACCAATAGTAAAACCTCACTTTCATCTACTCACTGCATGTTGAAAGTTGACTTAGGAGGAGTTTATTCTGGTATTCTGTGGATCCACTAAATCCACAATCTAAAGACAGCCTTGCAACTGTGTACTTGGTCAGTGTTAATCTGATGATCTGTGTGCTTTGCTGTCAGTAGTTTTTGCTTTGTTGTGTCCTACAGCATCGAGTGGCTCTTTCAGTTTTCCAAAATATTGGCCCTTTTTACCAGCATGACAAAAAGTTCCCCCCCCCAAATATCTCCCCTGGTGTCTTCACATCAACACAAAAACAATGTGCTCAGATCATCTCTTCTGTGTACTCTTCTAGTCTACAGCACAGAAATGTTTTCAAATCATACTTGTGAAACTGACTTTTTGACCAGCTTGCAAGCTGCATCAGGAATTCTATCTTAGAACAGGATATGCATATGTTAACACTTGAAATGTGGAACACAGTGCTGAGCAAAGGTGGTGCTTCCTCAGTAATGATGGAAATGTGCTTGTCCTATCCACTCATGTACATTCACCTTCTCTTCCCTCCAGTTGCAGGCACCTTTAGCTGTACCATGAAGTTTACAGTCCGGGATTGTGACCCTAACACTGGAGTTCCAGATGAAGATGGATATGATGATGAATATGTGGTGAGTCCTCCCTCAGACCCTGTACCTTTGCAACATTGAATGACTTCTAATCACAAGAGCATTTTTCTGGAAACATCTGACAAAACTCATGGGACCTAGACTAACCCTCTCTGTAATGGAATTGTATCATTCCAGAATTTAAATGGAGCACTTTATAACTAAAGCAAAGAAATGCACTTTTTTTTTCTCTTTTAATGGGGATCACTAAGATAATTGCATCATTTTTAATGTGATTGAGTTTGTTTATAAAGGAGGTTTTGGATTAATTTCAAAAACTTTTTGTTTGTTTGGTTCTAATATTGGCAAGTCAGGGACTGAAAAGTTTTGACAGAAAGGAGGGTTAGAGTGTCAGGTTTAGAAGGTGCTGTATGGCCTCAACTAGGGCTCCAAATGTGGCAATAGGACTACTGTGCACCATAGGGCCATTGGCACTCAACCTACTTTGACTTGACTCTTGCTCATCTGAACTAGAATCTGTAGCATCAGGCTCGCCCAGGCCACAGTAGTGGGGAAGAACTTCCTTCAGGCCCTTTGCATGGTTTGTAGACATGATGATGAATGATCAGTTCCTTCTATTTTTGTTGTAGACTCAAAAGGACTTTTATTTACTGACCCCTGCTTATTGTCCACTAGCTGGAAGATCTTGAAGTGACTGTGTCTGACCATATTCAGAAGGTACTAAAACCTAACTTTGCTGCTGCCTGGGAAGAGGTGGGAGACGCCTTTGAGAAAGAAGAAACCTTTGCCCTTAGCTCTACAAAAACCCTTGAAGGTGAGAAGAGTTTTGCTGCCAGTGAGCTGCCTGGGGCCATTATAAAATCCAGGAAGCATACATGCAGTTCCAAAGGAACTCCTTTCTGTTGGGTATGTTTTAATTTATTCATCTACTCAAAACCAGCTACTTGTCTTCATCATCTGACCAAATCAGCCATTGTCTAGACTAGTAGCCTCTGTGCAGCTGCAGCCCCTAGGACGTCCTGGAGCAGAGGCAGACCCTCGTGTTGAACTCTTGTAACCTGTTACATCAACTTTCTCAACAGAGGCTGTCAACAACATCATCACATTTCTGGGCATGCAGCCATGTGAGAGATCAGACAAAGTACCCGAGAATAAGAATTCCCACTCCCTCTATCTGGCAGGTAAGAGATTCCCATCAGCTTTCCCTTTGAAAAGTGCAGAGTTTAAAAGGAAGGGTGTGAATGGGCACTCCCTGCCCTGCTGTGGCCTGTCATTCAACATTGGAGACCTTTACAGGCTCTCCTTATTCTTTGAGGAGGCACATCTGGCCGAAAATACTGGCATCTCTAACAGCTGCCAGCACCACTCCCTGAGTACACTAAGTCAGTGATACTCAATACCATCCATATTCCTGGCTTTCATAAGAACATTTAAAAAGTAGGATTGTTTGTAGGATTCATTTCCTATAAATTTCTATCAGTATGAAACTAAAATAATAGAAAGGAGGTACAGGCAAAACATGACAAATTCCATTAGTCAGGGCTTATTTGAAGTTCTTAATATACTTTTCCTAACTTTCTTCTCTCAGGTGTATACAGAGGTGGCTGTGACTTATTAGTGCGGTCTAGGCTGGCCTTGGCAGATGGAGTGACCATGCAGGTGACTGTGAGAAGCAAAGAGAGAACACCTGTGGATGTTATCTTGGCTTCTGTGGGATAGGTTCTTGCTGGGAAAGGTGATGTGGCTATGCTCTCCCTATTGGTGGAGTTTTAGTGGCATGAATTTCCCAGAATCACACTTAAAGATTAATAGACTTTGAAGAAGCAAATCCATTGTTTGGCCCTGAGCCAGCAGATCAAGCAAATATTTGTCTTGTGCATGGATTTTAGTGTTCATCCCTTCTCATTGTCTCACTTGTTCAGCTTTGGTATGACAATGCAGCTTTGAATGATCTTGAAAACCAGATACTATCTATGTATGCTATTCTACAGCTGCTTGGCTTCATTATATGCCTTTTTTAATGTATGAAAACTCTTGGCAATGTTGGAAAATTTTGTCCCAGAAGAGGGGAGGGGGAGGGGAAGCCGGAATCCATTTTTGTCACAGTTTGTTTTTATTAATAGAAAATAAACACTCATTCATTCCAGTTTCAAAGTTGCTATACTTGAAATTTCTAATTTTAAAAAATGAATTTAAAATAATCAATAATGCTGCTTTAACTAAGACAGTTAAAACTGTTGCTTAAAAAAGTATTCAGCACCATTTGCGCTTAGGTCTTTCAGCATTTGTTCTTAAGTGTCTGGGGACTTGCCTGTCTCTCAGTATAGGAGTTGCTGAGTTACATGAGAAAGCCTTTCTGAACAGCCAGTGGGATGCTAAGCAGCCATCATCCTAAGGTGTTGGTGGACATGTGGCTGTTACAGCGGCCCCTCCACTCCACTCCAGCCCTCAAGGAGCATGCACCTAAGCTCTGATGCGAGGAGGCAGGCTGTTACATACTGCTCGGCTTGGACTTCCTAGCCAGGAACAGTAAATCTCGGGCACAGACGCAACTGGTTAATACCTTGTGGTTTTAGGAATTCTGTAAATAATTGGAAACTATTTATTTACAAATTATATGTGTGATGAGGTTCTCTACTCTAGCAAGTACAGGCCAACTGTTTTAATACCCCTAAAAACTACACACTTGAGTATGCTAATCAGCCTTAAAAGCATATTCAGAACACTGTATCATTTATGCCAATGATTCTACTTTGGTTTGGTGAGGTTTTTTTTTTTTT